AGTGTGCGTGTGCGCGTTGAGCACAGAATACATCGTTGGAAGATTTAATGTCGCGTTCGCGAATATTGATAATATAGATATGCCTCCTATTAGACGAAGCAATTTAGGTAGAAGAACACCGAAATGCTACAAAACGCAAGCTAATTACCGATCTAATCATGCTGCACAAGAACGTTGACGAACCGTGAAAAGCATTCGGATATCACAAACGCGTGAAGCGCGAGCGCCTACATTCAACTAAATAATCGCGGCCAAGTTTAGAATCGACTGCTTTCATTTACGATGTGTCAATTTGACTACCGTAACTACCATGTGCTTGTTAATGGTTTCTTATGAACTCGGTTGGCTTCATATTGTTACAGGACGACTGCAATATAAAAACGAAACTAATGGATTGTGTTTGCGCAAATGGTAAACGTGAAATTGATACCATTGAAACCACCACCAGAGCCATTGGAACTCATTGGTTTAGGGAATAGGAACACACATTCACATACACTTTTTGACAAATATCGAACAATTAACAATTGCTTTCAAATGAACTTCATTTTGGGTCAACAAATGTAGTTCGGGGAAAATTTTTATTGCCAACTTTCAAGGATTTATTTATAGCAGTTAATCCATAATTATTTTTATGTTTCTTCACTCAAGTTAAAATATGTCACTATATCTTCAATTTCTTAATCACTATGATCATAATGCATCACTTAGTCAAGAAATTTAAACGAAGCATTGATTCAATTGAGGACATGTGCTTGATGCTGTCAAACAAACTATTAATTCAATTAGTCCTGGCCAGCGCCCAATCACCAAATGCATGATGCTTTTAACCAAGAGTTGAATCGAGGAAAACTGATGATCTCAACACTTTGAAAAGAATTCATTCAAACAATCTTCCACTGTTGAATGAACAACAGAATGTATGTTTTTGATACTCTTATGGAAAAAAAAACAAATGATGAACTAGAGAGATTTACTTCTTAGATGCACCTGTTGGTACGGAAAAACCTTTTTTATTGTCATTAATATTTAGCAAACGATTCGCTCACCAAAAATGAAATTGCACTTGCACTCGCTTCGTCGGTAATCGCAGCAACTTGCCTTGAAGGTGGTCGAACAGCCCATTCAGAATTAAAAATTTTTACCATTAAATATGCAAAGCAATGAAACTCCGACCTGCAACAACTTTCGAAGAACTCTGGCAATCGGCAAAGCGTTTTGCAGCAATGTAATTAATTGTTAGGGATGAATGCACAATGGCACATAAAAAAACTCTTTGGGAACTTAGACAGAACCTGTAAATATCTACGGAGCAATCATAACCAATTTGTGGTGCAATTGGTTTTTATTAGCTGGAGATATTCGGTGTCAAACATTGCCAAGTGACTTCCACGATCACACCAGCTAAATGAACTCAATGATGTCTAAAAGTCCTCCAATTTGTAACAAACAGGTCCAAAGTATTCATTTAAGCAAGAATATGTGTGTCAGTTGCAAAATGACCAATATTGAAAGATATTCTCTAAACAACTCAGTTGCGATTATGGTAATGGCAAATTTCCTATAGACCTGATTGACTGCTGCATAACTTTCCTCAAAGTTTTTTGTCAGTTAACTCGATCAAAAGATGAACTTATTCAGAAGGTGTTTCCCAGATGTTTCTCAAAAATTAACAGAAACCTGTTGCGTTGAGCTAACAGAGCTATATGGGCTTGCAAAAAACATAGATGTAAATGAATTAAATTTAAAAAATTCCAAGAACAAATTACCAGGCGAATTCGAGGATATATAAATCTGTTGATTGAGCTACTAACCAAGACTGATTGTAGTGAAACTATCCACCAGAATTTTATAAACTCGCGGATTTGCCAGGATTGCACCTCACTATCTTCAATTAAAGGTTGATAGGTATTTTTTTTTTTTTTTTTTTTGTTAGTATGTTGCGAAATATCAACCAACCATGTCTTTGCAAACGGCACACGTTAGCGATAAAAAAATTACTAAAACAATTCTAAGCAACTATACTGATAAGGAAAGTGTAAAGGAGGAAGACGTCACTCATACCGCGCAGCCAATGATTCCGACTGATGTGCCGTTTAACTTAAACGACTACAGTGTTCGCTGCGGCTTGCTTTTGCTATGACCATAAACAAGTCCGCCAGGGGCACAATCATTAAGTGTGGTATTAATCTAGAAACCCATGTTTCTCACATGGTCAATTGGTTATTGCCTGTTCCCGTGTTGGCAAAACCATCAGATTTGTTTGTCTATGCGCCAGCGGTAAACCAACAAAAACCATCGTAGTATCACAAAGCACTACATGAAAAAAAAAACTTGATTTTTGTTAATGATTATGAATACAACATGCATTAAACAATAAAGCGATACGTTACTTTTAAATGCTTATATATTTTTTATTCAATTATACTTTTCTTATGTCACAACGCCCTATCACAGGGTGACGGTTCTGTTCAGGAGAATTTTTTGGCCAGACTATAAAATATGTAGGAACAAAAATTTTCACATTACAAATCTTTTTGACAGGACGAAGTCTGTCGGGTCCGCTAGTAGCATTATAATTTTCAACTCATAACATAACTGCATACGAATTTTAGAAACAAAGCATGATTTCTTTTGTGGGGTTATAATGGGGTTTACAACTACATGAGTTCCTTAAAGAGAGATCGTCAAATAAGTTCATGTTGAAATTGTCGAAAGTAGTATGTGTAGTTTTCGATCGAAACAGAGACAAGTTTTAAAAAATGTTTAAATCGGTCCACATTTTCTCCTTAAATTTTCTCGTCATATGTAATAAAGAATGGTATAAAATGTGGCGCTAGTCCCATTTTCGTCTATTCCTCTGTTGTTGTTTTTTCGACAAATTCCAAAAGTTAACATTACAAAACTACAAAATTGAAGGTAAAGATTTTGCCCCAGAAAAATCTCTTGCAAAAAAATCAGCTCTTTAAAATTAGTAATGTAGATTTTTTGAAAAATGTAGTTCGTGCGTAATTTGCACTCAAAAGTTTTGCAATTTACAAAAAAAATATTTTCTCGAAAACTGCACCAATTTTTCTTCACATTTTTCGTCATACGCAATAAGGGACGGTAAAATGTAGTGCTACTCCCATTTTCGGCAAACTTTCAGTATTCTTCGAAAATTAAAAAATTTAAGATTTCAAATTTGAGAGATTGGTGATAGCTATTTTTGCTTACAACAAAGCCTGATGTAAAAAATCAGCTCTTCAAAACAGGTCATGTACAATTTTTTTTGAAGAGTTAATTTTGCATAATTTTCGTTTTTATTTCATGAAATTTCTAAAAGAATATTTTCAAAAACCGCAAGAATTTTTTTCATTACAATTTCTCCTTTTATGTAACAACTGGTGGTAAACTAGTGGTGCTACAACTGCATATACTTTCTCGCGTAATTTTTAATTTTTCCACTATATTTTACTCCCCTTTTCTTTACCAGAGCCCAGGAATAAGAGTTTTCCGGCGCACGATTACAATACATTCTCGTCTTACGAAGCAAGAATAAGAAATAAAAATTAATAAAAAAAATGTAGAAGCACTTTTCTACAACATTTTGAAGACGTCGTTTAGGTTAGATGTAAGTACCGTCAAAAATCAAAATATCCATTTAAAAACTCACATATCCCTGAGACGGTGAGACAACAGACCGACAGGGGAACAGAGGGACTTTTGTTGTACATCAGTATTTCGATATTGGAACTGTACATTACTTGGATTCTGATTATATGTGTTCGGTGAAACAATTTATTTACAACGGATAGTCGCAAAATATATTCACTTTTTCGATATCAGAGCCGCATAATAAAAGTTTTCTGACGAAAAAGCGCTTTTTTACTCAACAGCGTTAAATAAGTTCTTCTTTACTATGTAAGTACGTAGTGAGTGAGAAATGAAAGATAGTGCACAAAAGCAAACTTAGAAGCCGATTATTTCGCGAACACAGGTCTGTGCTTGGCCGCTACTGTTCATTCATTACATGGTGAAAGGGGCCGTTATAATTGAAGTTGTCAGGTAGTGATAACTTCTTACAACTTTCGTGTTTTAGATCCTGGTTGCAAAACGAAGATCGCCACCAAAATGTTTGCTGGAATTTGAAAAAGTCAAAAAAGTTGAAGACACGTTTTTTGTTTCTCTGTTAACTTCAAATAGACCGGTTTTCCGTAAAACATTCTATACAAAAGGAAGTGTTATAAGCAAGAAATTATATAATAAGATAAGTAATAATAAATTATATAATGAGATAATTAATAAAAGATATTCAATATTTTTACTTAATCGCCACGAGTACTCTTTAACAGGTGCCACGTTTACACGACGACATAAGTGGAACATGTATTATTTTTAAGCAATAATACAACTCCAACAACACAAGTTGTCTTGCAACCCTCCATATGCACCATAACTGTTATTTCTAGTATCTGCCTTTCTACCCATCTTAGCTCTCTGTCCGATTTATTTTGTAAGCATCATACTATATCTCTGTATTCGGTGCAATATTGTTAATCATATTGTTTAATTTGGAATACATATAAGTTTGTAATTTCCTTTCATGCGAACATTAAATGCATTTACGTGACCTTCAAAGAGTGCGTTTAAACTGATCGAAAGTGTGCCATCTAACTATACTGATCGTGTCTTATATTTGACTGTAAATTAGAGAACGAACTGGCGAAGTGCTAGAAGGTCATGCCATGGACTGACACTTTGAGGCATTATCAGCTGTCCATCGGCTCAACTGTCTGGCCGAATAACTTTCGAAGAGCGATGGCATTCTCCGCGATGTTCAACATTTCTAGAAAGAGCCAAAAAGTTGTCTACTGGCCTCAACAGCGCACACATCGCTGCGCGCATTTCATATTGCCACTGCGGACGCAACATTCATAACAGCTACATCATTTTAAGTTTTTACGATTTACTGACAAAATAAAAAAAAACAACTATCAAATACTTCGCGCTGTTCACAGCGTATCTGAGCGTGGGCGACTACAACGTGGTGGCGGTGGACTGGTCGAGCTGGGCGTCCAGCAGCACATACTGGTGGTCCAAGATCAGCGTGCCGGCCGTGGGGGAGCTGCTGGGCCAGCTGGCCATCATGATGACGCGCGAGGGCGCCAAGGCGCGGGACATGCACCTGGTGGGGCACAGCCTCGGGGCGCACGTGGTGGGCGCGGCCGGCAGCATTCTCGCCCGCCACGACCGCGGCGCCCGCATCACCGGTCAGCACCTCTTCACACGCTGGTCTTTACATGATTGATTGATTCATTGATTGATTGATTGATTGATTGATTCAATGATTGATAGGTTGATTGATTGAGTGAGTGAGTGAGTGTTTTATTGATTGAATAGTGATTCCGGGCGCGCCAACTGCAAAGGTAATTGGTTCCGTAAGAGTAGTGCATTTTTATTGCGAGAGCTGGCGGTGATCATCTCTGGCTGGTGAGATTCTGAGCTCACCTACCCGTCGGCTTGCGAGATTTTTCCGCAACCAGGTATCTCCCACCAGCAGGGCACCGCTCCAGCCGGAACAACCTCTAAGCTCCCGACTGGTCTCCTAGCATGTGTGGTAGTGTAGGACATGTAAGTGTAAATGTGGGATGAGTAATACGGTGAGGATATGACAAGGAAGAGGAAGGAAAGATCGCACGTGGCCTACGGCTCATTTGTTAGAATATTACTCCGGCATTCGCCTAATGTTGATCGGAGAAACTGACTATCAGAGTGGCCGGCCGCTAGAAATCTCCTCCAAACAGCAGCTGAAATACTCCTAACTATCTGTCAGTGACATCAATTCATGCCCTGATTCACCTATGTATTTATCAGAACTTAACGCTTGGCTTTATTTGACACAGGGGCTTGGGTCAGGTGCAGGCAAGAACCGTTGTTCGAGGTTGTGGGTTCGAAAATCCTGTGAAAAGGCATGGTAGTTTTCATGATGTATTCTTGGCGTGGTATAGGGGTGGAGTTAAGCCCAGAACCAGCATCGCCGCTGTCCGCAAGATCCTATTGTTCAAGTTCTGAAGAAGACGGAGAGAACATTGCATTTGTACACTGCAATGTGGCGAATTTCTGACACTAGCTACACAGCTAGATCGAATTTTGACGCTCTCTGAAGGATAATTCATGCGGCTGTTCTTATCGGTAGATTTCTGCTTTTTCTTAATCAATACCAGGCGAATGCCATTATTACATACATAAGAGTGCGGCATAGTACGGAGCAGTACCCTAACAAACGGACCATGGACCCTACCATGGGGCTCCTTTACTTCCTCTTCCTTGTCTTATATTCTCGGATCTCAGCATCCGTGGGAGAAGTCGGTGACTTCCCGGAATATACATTCACTACACTAACGAGACTAATGTCCACAGCAGTCTACTTGACGGAAACATCAATTAATTAATCAATTAAAACTTTACCCTGCCGCCACCTTGTGTGGTTCCTCACTCCCATTTTTGTAATTAGCACACCCCCAGTAAACGTTAGAAAACACCCTATTGGGTAGGATCAACCATACTCCTTGAAGGTAAACAAAATATGTAGACCTAAAAATGCGAATGTAAAGAAGTGCAGATACCTTATGTAATAGAGCATTTATAGTCCTTCGAAATCTAATGATAATCAAGGAGACTATTTGAAAACTTGAAACACTGAAAAGAGACGCATTTTTAGTGCCATGGCATGCATAATACCATAGTACGCACATAATGGAATGTTACAACAATTTCATATCAGAGGGGGGTGATTTGTTTCCGGGGAAATCGTGTTTAGAAAAAAATTGCAACTTTACTTGAGAACTTTCACTGTTCTCTTTTCACGAACAGGATTGAAATTCCAAAGGGAATAATTGATTTCTGAACACACTAAATCCGAAATTATCCGAATCTTAGTCAACCGAGGCACCAGATAAATCTAGATAGTCAAAACGGATTTCAAGGAGTAGAAATAACAAAATATTTCATCGAAAAACTGAACCTAAGGGAATAAATGCTATGTGTTGTATATTAAAAAAACAAGATATTGCCAAACTTTAAGAAAAGGCTTCAAAATTTTGAAGAAAAAGCTAGATCGAATGCACATATTAATTCAAAAGTCAAATCTGTTATGCCATTTATTAGTACTTGGCTTTATTTGCACAAAAACTTTATTGAATATTGATATTTATTCAAAATTACCTTCAAGATTAAAATGGCGTCTTTTTAGACATTTTAAATTCATATTTGACGCACATTATCTCCACATTTGTAGTCAAAATATTTGTGGAGGACTCTACCGCAAAGATCGCTTCCAAGGTGCATTCTCTACATGCCTCACCGCCATGTTCTTCTATGTGTTAGGGTTGGATCCAGCTCTTCCGGGATTCCAGTATTACGAATACGCAGAAGGGCGCCTGGACGAGACAGACGGCGAGTTCGTGCAGGTAATTCACACGTGCTCCGGAGCGCTGGGCTACACTTCCCCCATCGGACACGCTGACTTCTACCCCAACAACGGAACTCCCATGCAACCAGGTTGCTGCTGCATGCCAGAGGTCGTACGTAAGTAAGAACTTAGGTTCACCAGATGTTGAGTTAGAACTTAGAAAAGAAGTAGTAAAGAACTTAGTAAAGAACTTAGGATTGTATTTTCCTCGTGTCCTACCTTCTCCTCTCTCTTCTCCAACTTTCTACCCCATTTCTTCTATCTTTTCACCTTGTTATTCAAATGCTTTCCCTTTTTCGACATTCTCTACGCTTCTCTCTCCTCGACAATATTTACTTCCTCGTCTTTCCCTTTCCTTGCAATTCCTCCGTCTTTACTTACTCTCTTCTTCCACTTTTCTTCTTTCTTTTCTTATTCATCCTCATCCAACGCTTCTTCTCACACAATTCACTCATCTTCCTCTTATTACTCTGATCTTAGTTCCTCTTTTACATTTTCACCATCCTATTTAACATGGAACAAATTTTAAGTTTAAAACTCTTGTGTGACATTAGTGAGTAGGCGTAATCTTGTTCAAGCACAGGATCATAGAATATTGGTCACTGACTGATCCATTTACTTTTATTTTGCTATATACATGGAGTTTGTGTGGTAAAGTGGATTTACTATGACAGACGGGTAAGTTTCGCATTTCTAATCTCTGCCCGCATCCAAGAGGGCGCCGAAGCTAATTACCTGCGCTTTGGTTAGCCTGAAAACGTACCCCATCAAGCGACTGCCACCTGAAGCTCTTGTTCAGCCATTGTAAACGCTCGAGGTAACATTATTAACAACTGCGCTGTTCAAGTGAACTACGTCTACTTTGTTGGAGCGAAGAAACTCATAAAAACAGGTTTAATAGTAATTATTTTTCAATGTTAATGGTAAATTGGTTTTAGTGAAGAGAATTTTGAGCTTTATGTGACGTTTACGAGAGGGCATATAACACACTGTTAGGAAGTCCCAATGCTCCAGCAAGTATTACAAATCCATCCGTAACAAGTCTTCTCGTGAAAAGGGACAGAAATCCATAATAACGACGAATAATAATTTTCTCTTCGCAATTCTCGCGATAGCATGAACTTATTATTCGACGAGCATTCGAATGGATCAAAGGCACGTACTTCTCCATCCTCATTTGTACTCCTACATATTAGCAACAGTTCCAATAATCAGGGTACAGATGCTTTAATAAGAAAAAAATTGCGCATTGGATTAGGATTGCCCTAATTCACCAAGAGCATAATTTTGAGAACAACATAGAAAGAGAAAATGTAATTACATAACATCCCGTCTCCAGATTCCGACCATACCCGACGGATTCATGCGGAACAAAATGGATTCACAGAAAATGCACTCAACCCATCCAGTGGCCCAGATCGTTAAGGCAGAAGTGCCGTAGCGATTTCGGACCTAAGGATCGTGGGTGTGAGTCCCGCCTCGGGATTGGTTGTATTTGTGTTCGTCCTTTCACCCCCTATCATCACCATATCATGTCATCTTCACATATACCATAACGTTAAATCTAATAGTGGACGCTAATGACCTAGATGTTAATGCGACCTTAAATAACGTAAAACAATTCAGAAGATGGCCAGCCCACCCGCGTGAAGTATTATACTCTAAGATCGAAGTAGGAAGTTAACCTTGTACGTCATTGATCCTCCGGAGACAGGGGAATGGAGGGCTTATCAAGATCAAAGATCTACTTTAAACCGGTGAAATATTGAAATGGAATTGTCATTCTGGAGTGCCTCTGCCAATATGCAAACTTTAGGCGATCCGTAGGTGCCATCCAAAGATTTTAAGTTGTTTTTTCATAGAAAAAGGTTTCTATATAGCAAAACAATACTGTACACTGTTTGCAAATAAACGTTATGTATGTTCATGTGTGTCACAAATATTATTGCATTTCAAAGCCAATGAAAACTTACAAGGTGGGGTAACTTTGTAGCAAGTTAACCTAAATTATTATTCAGAGGTTATTCAAGACTCGGTTCAAGTATGTCAAATACAATATATCCGACCTACAATATACCCCGGTTCAGAAAAGGCCTACCTATGGGAATCGAACCTGCAGTTCTGGCCAGCTCCGGCGCTCCTCTCACAATAGAAAGAAATATATTTCAAAATTTATTTCGAAATGTATTAACATCTTTCCTTTAATTTACAGGAAGAAATTCAGTAGTTTCAAAACTTTTCCGGGTGTCAGGGTGTGTGGCACACAAAATGAATTTTGCAGATGTAAATAACATGAAATATAGACAACTAGACCGTCCGGACCGTCTAGTCCCCAGACATCGTCACAAGATAATGTGTCTGCAACCCAATTCTACGCTCCTTGTTCTTGTGACGCCGACAACAGCCCGTCTCCCACTGCAAACAAATTCCGGTCTCATTACATTCGATATTGTGTCACGTTTTCGTTATGCAGCAAGGCGACAAGATTTACAGAAAACTACATCTTCATGACTTTCTTCACATGTAATTGCGTATTTGCAATACACACTTATTTTGTAATGCAGACACTCAAAAGATCCTAAAGTTATTATGTCTTGGTATTTTTAAACAACAACTTTTCTTAATATTGATTTGATTTGATTTGTTTACAGTCGCATCAACTACATAGAGTTATTAGCGACTACCTTAATAATACACAATCAGTACATAATAACACAGTAACTTAGAATTTTACATGTATGGTTATATATTGTTATACATTTCAATTTCCTTTA